ATCAGTGCTAGGAGGGAGTGGGGTTTGTGGAGAGGAGGAGGGGGAGGAGAACTGCCTGGTTCTTGAGCTTGGTTGCTTTCTTGTAGACCTTTCATGACCCAACTAGGGAGCATTATCAGTGCTAGGAGGGAGTGGGGTTTGTGGAGAGGAGGAGGGGGAGAACTGTGTGGTTCTTGAGCTTGGTTGCTTTCTTGTAGACCTTTCATGACCCAACTAGGGAGCATCATCAGTGCTAGGAGGGAGGGGGGTTTGTGGAGAGGAGGAGGAGGAGGAGAACTGCGTGGTTCTTGAGCTTGGTTGCTTTCTTGCAGATTTCTTTCATGACCCCATCAGTGCTGATAATGTTTCCTAGCTTGGATAATGAACCACCATTAAGAAAGCCATCCAGCTCAGAGGGCACCAAGGACCGAACGCTTCCCTCCCTTTACCAGCCTCCCTCAAAACTCCCTGCCACTGTCGCGGTACCTTTGGAGGACGGCCAGCGTGCCTGGGTTGACGCGGTGAAGGCCGTCCAGAATGAGCAGCTTCCCCTGGAGGGCAGCGGTGACCAGGGGTGACGGTCTCCAGGAGGTGTCCCCGTTGGGCAGCGTGTACCTTTGCTGCAGGAGGTCTCGCGCTGTCATGTCCTGTGAAGAACAAGGACGGCCCCCGCGGCAGAAAGGGTGAGCTCCACTGCGGTCGTACGTCGAGGACTTGTCTCCACAGCTGAAACTCCCACCCTCGAGGCAAACTATTTGAGATTAAGCATCTAGAATTTGTCATTCTCTTTCCAGATGTTTTCCTTATTAAGTGCGGGAGAAAAAGAGGAAAGAGAGAGAGGGAGCGGGAGGGAGGGAGAGGAAAGAGAGAGGAAGAGGGAGAGAGGAAAGAAAGAGAGGGAGACAGAGAGGAAAAGGGAGAGGGAGGAAAGAGAGAAAGACAGACAGAGAGGAAGAGAGGGAGAGGAAAAGGGAGGAAGAGGGAGGGAGGGAGAGAGAGAGGGAGGGAGGAAAGAGAGAGATAGGGAGGGAGAGGGAGAGAAGAGAGAG